TGGCTACTGCTGGATGTCTAAGACGGGGAAGGATGCTGAGAGATACTCCATCACTGACCCATATTTAGTCACTAGATGTAGTTCCTGCAAAGTCGTGTGGGTATTTGAATTCATGTAAGTAATCTCTTTAAAATCTTTTGACTTGATTCACTTAAGAACTTCAGTCAAATCTCTAGCCTTGTATCTGCAATTATACATACACCTCCCTACTGAAATGAAGCACAAATGTAAGACATACCAATTAAATTTAGCCAAGTAAGAGCTCTTAGTTATCTATAAAATACATAGTAACAAATTAAAGCACTTTTCCACAGTTAAAATAAAAATCTGGCTGTAGCAATAGCAGTAGGAGAAGATAAAGCCTCCTGTTTCGATGTATGGAACTGGAGATGTGGTGCATCTTCGGATTTTAAAATAAATATCCTTTTTGGACAAAGTCATCACTGTAGTGCAGTAAGTAACAAATGACAAGAAATAGTAATCTTTAACCTTTTCTGAACATCACCCTTGTCATTTGTCACACAGAAGAGTACTTATGAATGAAAGTTTGACTATGTAATGCAGAGTAGTTATCATGTATTCCATAGTTCAGCAAGAGACTGCAGTCTAGCATAAAACCATGGCTGTATGCTTCACCCCTCCAATAAATCGTCGTGTTAAGCTGATTCTCCCTGGGCACTGTAAATTTCTTTTGAAGAGTGAGTTCATTAGCACCAATAAGGAATGTACATTAAATTGATTTAACTAAAAATTTTCTGCTTGCTAATTTGAATTTGATTAAAATCAATCAATCCCATTACCTTTACTGCATGAAGTTAAGTAACTTGTACAGGAGCTAGGAGGACAGGGACCTTTGTGTGTCACCTGTGTTGCTTGATTTGTGCAACCAAAACTCAGCCAACTATCTTAGTTTCCCATCCTGTGCAATGAGTTCTAAAGCTCTGTGCACATGGTTGCCCAGATACAGTGACCAGGTGGTCTTCATTAACTTCCATGCGGATCAGCGATTGATTTTTCAATTCTTAAAGTGCAAAATGGACCAATGGACCTTTATACTCTTCACAGAGTATAAAGTGGGCAGAAATAAAGACTGTAGCAGTTGACTGTGCTATATATAGCATGTTTTGGGTCCTTTCTGTAAGTGATGTGGGTGAAAACCCAAAAAATTGGGAATTGTTTAACTTGTTTATGATTACTGTAATGCTAAAGCAAATGTTGCAACTACTGTTCTGAAGACACTGGCTATTAATGTAAGGCAATGCCCTTATAGCTGCAAGAATCAATAAGAAGTTAGTAGACTACTTGCTTAGAAGCCCACATCAGTACCTGACTGACGGAGTAATTTCTGGAAACAGTCTACAAATTATTTTGTAGACATCCTTATTTGTTTTTATCGAGTTCCATTACGTAGTAACATGTTGGTAAATGTTATTGCTGGGTTCAGAAAGAAAACCGTCCCAAAGCAAACACATGAATGATCAGCAAAAAGCTATCTTTATGGAAACACTGTTCCTTCAAAAACATTGTGCATATGTAGCTAGAAAGAGAAATACAGCCTAAGTGCAGTAACACAGCTGAAAATAGTGCTCAAGTGGCAAGTATGAATGACAGGAAGATAATTTGCACAGATTTTGAGAAGAGATCTTGTAGGAGGTGCTGGTAGGCACTAACATTTTGAGTAAGAGCTTACAACTGGCCATACATAAGGAGACACGAGCAATAGTTCCGTTCCTGTAGGAGGAGGCAAGTCGAGTAGAAAACAGGCTTGTCTGTTTTCATCATACAGCTCGTAACGTGTTCACAGCTGAGATTAGCTTAGAAATAAAGCTGAATGGGAGGAGGAGATCAGAGGCATAGATCAGATTTAAACTTCCTCAGAACAAAACTCCTGGCTGGTGTTGAGGCAGCTCTTCTGAAGGGTAAACTGGAGATGGAAAAGCATTGGAAGCGTGAATATGGCATCTAAGGATGGAAGACAGTGCCACAAAAGAGTTTGATTAAAGTCTGAAGCACTGACAAGAGTACTGTGCACAAAGGGCAGATACTGGTGGGTTGGTTGAAAGTTTGTCAGCGTGGCTGGTGTCTGATCTGCCTGACGAGGGTCTAAAATGGCTGGAAAAGAGGACAGCTCATTTGTTACCTTACAGACGATATAGGACAGCATGGGTAGCTGAATCATGAATGGATTTTTGCTTCAAAGGAAAGTATTCTTGTATTTTGATCCGCAAGCTGGACAGTAGGATAAGGGAGTCAATGAGAACAGGTCCGAAACAAGTGCAAGTGAAACAGGAAATTAAAGGTTCAAAGTGAAAGAGCAGAAGTTTGAGGATTTTTCTCAGTGTAGAGGGAAAGGCTAAGTTTATCAGATGGTAGCAGAGCAATAGCTCCAAGACAAGGAGGAGAAAATACTTTCAGAAAGCATGAAGATTTAATCAGTAAATGCCCTGCAACGTAGTTATTGGTTCTATAGGCAATAAAAGCTGAAGGATGAACCTGAAGAGTAACGTATCTTAACACTTCATTTAAGAAATGAACACAAAAGCCTTTCTGCATTCATTATTGTTTTTCCAGAGCATTTTTATGACACTTCCAAAAACATTTTTCAGTCTGTCAGTTGTAGTGCAGCAAAGGAAAAGTGTAACCAGTTTGGTGGGCTGCTTTTCTCAGGTGTCCTTGGCAGGAGAGAAGCTGATGATCTTAGTGCTGTTTTGGGCAATCGGTCGCCTGTAAGAAGCTGAAAGAGAAGGTGTGGCCTATCCAAACATACAGTAATAAGAGCAGTGGTTTTGTGATGCTGCTATTCAACTGGAGCTAATGAGATTTCAGTAGCACAAAGTCTGGTACAGCACTCCTTGGGTAGGCCTATTTACTTCAAATGTTCTTTTGCATGTAAACTTGCAGGGGAGTGTTCACTGGCAAGGGCAATAAAATATGTAGCAGTCATACAACTTTTTTTTTTTTTAATATGTACTGTAATTATCCCTAAAATATCCCTCCAATATTTTAGGGATAATTACATACATATTTAGGGAATCAATTTTAAATAATAACATCTGAACTTTTAAATAATTCATTAATGTTTTTTAGGTAAAATTTTGCTTTGAGGAATAACTGCGGAATACCTACCTAAAAATATGTTCATATTTTGAAAATATCATGGCCCTGGGCAGCCTGGGCTGCTATGAAATGTGGAGGTTGGTGGCCCTGCATGAGGCAGGGGGTTGGAGATTCATGATCCTTGAGGTCCCTTCCAACCCTGGCCGTTCTGTGATTCTGTAAAAGCAAATCATGTAAGCCTTTAATGTGAACTGTTTTGTTTCATATTCTTATTAAGCACTGGTTATAAAAGAAGACCTTTCACATGTGATATGCAATCAATTGTCAACTAAAATACAATTGGAAAAGCCGTGGTTTCAGAAAAATGGATTTGAAAAATGATGCTTTGAAATAGCTTTAGCAATACAATGTGATGTATGATAGCAGAAGCCTGAGTTTAGTGCCTACCAAGTAAAGGTGTGATTACTCATTTTTTAATTGGCTATTTAGAATATTAAATATAATTACCTCCTTTTTGTTTGTTGGTTTTTGTTTTTCCGTGCCTTAGAATTCTGTCATCTTCAGCTGGGGAGGCAGAGTGGGGATATCTGTAAATAAACTCTCAGATCACAACTGCTTCAGTTGTATTTTCAGCAAGTTGCAAGGCAGCGTTTAGTCCCAAACACGGGGGTAACTTCAAGTGTGCTTTCCATGCCAAAAGCACCCATTTGTGTGCACATTTTGTGCTCTCAGGTGTATATGGAGAAAGGTACGTGGAAAAGAGTTGAAGATGAGCATTTTGCTCTTAGGTTGGATTGGGGATTGACACGGATAACACCCACCAGTGCAAATGACAGTTAGCACCTGTTAGTGCCCACATGGACTCCTTTCAAATTTTGGGTCCTGTAAAGCACAGGCTATGTTAGTCTTCTTGTCTTTCCATATTGAATTGTAAAGTAAACCAGTGGAATTCAGTTAATCAGAAATCTACTGAAACGCTTGTATAAGAGATTTTCCAAGCCTGAAAACATTTGTTGTACAAGTCAGGGCCCAAACTGATGTTAATATAAGGGGCAGAAGTTAAAGCTCCGGAACGAGGGATATTTTGAGAACTAGGCATACAGGAAGGTGGTGCTTTGAGGATTACTTCCCAGACGACACTGGAACCAAAAAGAAGACAGAATGCTCTGCTCAGAACCAGTAGCTGCAAATGGTTTAAAAAAGTGATGCCATTTCTCTTATTATTGCCAATAGGATGTAGGCTTTCTGGCAGTTATGTCCTTGAATAACCATTTCTTAATAAAATGACATACTTTCTGTAGCCAGTGATCCATGACTTTAAATATTTGGAAGGGCTGTTGATTCACTGAACTGCAAGAAATTAAAGATGCTGAGGCATATTTTCAAAAGTAGAACTACATGCTTTATAAATTACTATGAATTTGATCATGTATGTTCTTTTTACTGTCTGAAATAATGGTCAAAAAGCCTACTTACATGCAACACATTATTCAGTTCACCTGCAGTAGAGTTAAGTAAATGGTGGCATTGCTGAAATCGGCTACGTGTAATTTTACAAAGATGTCAGCACCTGCAACATCTCCCCTTGTTCCTGTGTTAGAGTCCTCTGCACCTATTTCTGTTTGTCGTGGCCGTTCTCTCTCTAGGTGAAGTGTCCATAAGACCAATGATTCCATCAGCAGATTTGCCAGTCAGTGCACATGGTGACATTTGTGCCACTGGTGATTTGGTTGCCATTTCACTGGTCTAATTAAATAGGCAGTTTTCTCTTGTGCCCGCAATCATCGTCTCCCTTCCTTTGGCACCTTAGCTCATAGCTTCTCCTTTTTTTTCCCTGTCCTTTTAGCTGAATATCAAATGCATTATTGATCATTCCTCTTCCACCCCTTCTCTCTTCCGCTCCCCTCAACTTTTTTTAATCTATTTTTTTTTTTGATTGGCAGTATCACCCAGACAAACAGAAGGCAGATGTGCCAGCAGGAGAAGTGGAGGAGCGTGTGCAGAGGTTCATCGAAATTGATCAAGCGTGGAAAATTCTAGGGAATGAAGAGACAAAAAAAGAGTATGACCTGCAGCAGCGTGGTAGGTTCCTGCCAAGGAGTGCTGTGGTGGCAGCAGCTCTTTAAATAAGCAGGGTCTGGGAGTTGCAGTGAGATGGTATTTTAAAATGCTGTTTGTTGCTGAACCAAATGTTTCTTTCACTCTTGTCCTACTTTCAAACGTGGATCCATTATTTATAGCTTTTGCTACACATACATTAGATAGTGAAAACACCAAATTGCCTCCAACGAAACATTAGGTGGCATTATTCCTAATAATCGGAATATGGGATTTATACTAATTATAGACCTTACCCCTTTTTAACTTATTAAGGCAGCTTCATTAAGCGTTCCTCGTTTATTTATTTTGAACTGGGGTCCCGTTCTACATTAGATTGCAGTATTTTAGATGCAGGCATTATTTAGTTTATATCTGGTGCTCGGTGTGCACGGTATGCAAGCCCTTCTGAGTCGTTACGGCACGTTCTTTCTGGCTCTTTGTTTAAGGTAGCTCTCATAATTCGTCTGCATTGTAAATTAGTCTAAAGCAAGTTTATAAACAGTATTCCAATATAGCACATTAACTGGGCAGCTCTAGCATGCATTTCTTTTCATACCTCTCAGAAAATAGCTTCTTAAAACAGTGACAGGCTGTTGTGAGAAAGAAAGGGGGGAAATGTAGGTCAGGTCTGTCACACATGGGCTACCATTACATGAAGTGATAGGCTGTCTTTCTGCTCTGGCCTCGGGATAGGAGTCCCTCAGCCTTCCATTAGAACCTTCAATAAATGTATATCCACCCTACATGTTAATGGGGGGAGTCAATAATAGTGTACTGCCTGTGGGGAAAACACTCAGTCGCACTCTGCAGTAACACACTCTGGTCCGGCATTGACGTGTAGCCACCATCACTTCTGAATGTGTCTGATAAAAGCCCACTGTCTCTGCAGCTTGTTATTGAATTCTCTTCCATTGTACATTGGCACACCATCAGACCTTTCTCTCTTGTGCTGATTTTTAACTCCCCTGCCGCTGCGGATAGCAGAACTTTGAGAAACAAAGGCTTAGTCATTCCGGTAGATGTGCATCACTGCAGGATAAAAAGAGTGATATAGAATTGTGTATGCCCAGTATGAATTCTCCAGTTAAATAATCTTGTATTTCAGGCTTTGTGTGGGTTTTGAAAAGAGGGTGGGAGGGGCTAAAAAAGGAAAAAAGGAAATAGATATTTAAGAAGAAAGGAAAAAATTGATCCTGTGCTGATTTCTTCTGTAAACAGTATTAGGGTCCATCCTAAATAACTTATCTCAGTCTTATTTTTCAAATGTCTGCTGTGGTGCCAGAACAGGAATTTCTGTTCTCATTGTACTGCACTTGAAGTATCAACTGTGTCCTCCATTTTCATTAATTATACGTGCACAGAAAAAAGATGAAATTTTAAAGATTGAGTTGCAAGTTTTTCTTATACGTAGCCAACTTTACCTAAATTAAACTTTACCTAAATACAGCTAATTTCAAATTTTCTTGGATCAGGTAAGGCTATTAACTAAGGGGAAACACATGAAGATTTAACAAAGTACTTAGTACTGCCATGGGATTTAAGGACATTTCTGCTTATTTTGGACGTCCTCTGTATTTACAGAGATTCCTCTGCATCTAGATGAGTTACTCCAAAAGCCACCTCGATGTTTGGTTGTTGTTTTTAAAAGAGCAAATAAGGAAAACCATTTCTTTTACGTGGGTATTTGGTAATGGTGAGGAAATAGGATGGGCACATTCCAGTACAGAGCAGCCTATTCCAAAAGGACACAGCGTTTCAAACTCAGGCAAACACACAACATACATGTGCAGTGTTGATGCATCCTTTGTAGCATGTTCCCTAGCAGCAAAATGACAATGAAATAAAATCCAGCTCTTTGAATGCCTGTCAAGATGCTTCTGAAGTCATGATTCCAGACAAATTTGTCGACGCTGCTGTAAGGGCTCACAGAAACAAAGGCACTGAGACAGCAGCTAAGGGGAACAGTGATGAGAAAGATAATATAGCAAGTTAGTAAGACTGCAAAGCCGAGGAAGCAGAATGTGAAGATGGCAGCGTGCATGTGTGTGTGTATGGCAGCCACAGGAAGAATCCCCTGCACTGCAGTCTTTTCCCCATAGCAGATATTGCTGATTTGTATGTGCTTTACTGTGTTAGATTAAATCATCGTTAATTACTGAGCTTAGGTATTCAGTGGCCTGAGAATTCATAGAAACTTGAAGACTATGGAATCTATGGCTTTTTTCTGGTTGCGGGGTTTTTCTGTCTTTTTTTTGTTTGTTTGTTTGTTTTTAAGTCTTTGATAATAACAAGTAAAGATGCTTTTATATCTTAATACTGCTTTTTTCTGAAGGCATCATAGAGATCTTTGGGGCTCTGGGGGCTGCATCACAGTGTACCTATTAACAATGGACTTCTTTCCTCAACAGATTTTCTCCTTAGAAGCTTTCCATTATTTCTTTTCTATTTAGAAAAGAGGAATATACATTTAAAATCAAACAGCAAAAGTCACCAAAAAGCTTTTTGGTGAATTTAGGTTGCAAACAACTTGTTCTGCAGTTTTCATAGTAAAGTCATTTGAGCCTTGAAAGTACATTTCAAAGTGTTTACGTCACAGTTTGAAAGCACAAAAAACTCAGAGACTCACTGAGATGGGAAAGGACCTTCGTGGGCCATCTGGACCCATCTCACAGCTGGCACAGATCAGTTGCTCAGACCTTCTCCAGTCCTTTTTTGGTTTCTCTAAGGATAGAGATGCCACAGCTTTTTTGACAGCCTGTTCCAGTATTTTTAACCAAGTTAAATGGAAGGGCTCCTTGCATCCCGTGTCACTTGCTTAGCATCCTTCCAAGAAGTCTCCTCACTGAGCACTTACAGACAGCGAGATGCAAAACCTGTTCTTGGCTTCCGTTTGCACGCTCTGTCTCAACCCTTCGCCATATCTGTAGCGACTGGGGTTATCCCTGGATGTCAGTGCTTTGTCCTGGGGAGCCTCAAACTGGACACAAGGCATCAGATGTCATCTCAAAAGCGTCAAGAGAGAACAGTAATAAGAATGACTCCCTAAAGATGCTGGGTGCACTTAGCAGCACCCTGCTAACTTGTTCTCAGCCTGTTGCCCACTGGAATCCCAAGGTCATCTGGAAAACTGCTTAGTGGCCACTTGTCTCACAGAGAACTGTTGCATTTGGATGTTCCAACCCAAAAGCAGGACTTTATCTTTGGTGTTCCTGCCAGCCCTTTTCTGTATTCAAGGTCCCTTTGAAGAGGGGGGGAGGGTTAGTTGGTTCTTGTTACAAAAATTCCTTCTTAAAAAGCACTTATACCAAAACTAAGCTTTTTGCATGGCCATTAACTGGAGCCTTTAGTGTGCCAGCTCATACTCTAAGTGACACAACTATATGTCCATCTCTAGCCATGGATTTTACGGCTGTGTGGAGCACAAGCCCTCTACTGCAGCTCCTTGGACTATGAGTGAAGCAGTATTTTCTTCTTTTTTTTTTTTTAATAAAATAGGTCTTTTGTTTGGAAAAAGTTTAAACTTAAATGTTACAATTTGAAATTAAAGCATGCTTATTTTATGTAAGAGCCTCAAACTTTAACAATTATTTGAAAAATAAATGGACTACAAGGGGAAAAAAATAAAATTCTGTAAATATCCAGGCTTTGGGTACTGTCATGACAACATTGACTGACAATACATATCTTGAACTTTGGTAATTGTGTTTACCTTGTTTTTTAAAGAAAAAAAGTCAATGCTAAGAATATAAAAAAGTTAGAGAAGTTGATCTGGTATTATGACCATCTTTACTATCACCATAAATTGTTAAGGGGGTTAGATTTCCATTTACTGCTTGCAGCCTCTTTCCTGCAACTCAGCCTTAAATAGACCAAGAAATATTTATTGTATCCTCAAGTAAAACTTAAATACCTTTCCTCTTTTACAATTTCTGAATGACCCAGCAAGGGCTCTAGTAAAGCTTTACTGAAGCAAGCCGCTAATAGTTATTTAATGTTGTTCTGTAGCCTGAAAGAATCTCAGTAGATTTTTCCTTTTAATCTCTTTGAATTGCAGGCTCATAAACCTCTCTGATGAGCCTGCCAGTGTTTTCTTAGATCCTGCAGTTGAGACAATGGAGCTGCGGAATCCTTTCACCTCTTGTTGTCAGACAAATCCAATAGATGGCAAAGCCAGGCAGGCTGTACTACTTGTGAATTAAAATTTGTTTTTCAAGTTAGGAAAGATAATTCAAGTCTTCACAGTTACCCAGGAATGTTTCTGATAAGTTGCATGTGAGTAAAGCTGCCAGCTGTAAGTCAGTGCTGGTAAGGATACCATTCTTAAGTCACCTTCTCTCACTGATTTTCTGCAGAGAATCACAAGAGATGTGGCTGTGAGATACGTAACAACGATCTTGTAGCTGAAACAAGGAGGAACACAACAAGTCAGAACACTTTGTGAAACCACTAGGTTGGACGTCTGGTTCTGAGTTCCCCAACTCATATTGAGCTGTGCTTGCACGTTACAATACTTAGCCAAGGCTATTTGTGCTGTCCTGAGGTATTTTACGTTCAATAGTACCTTGAATAGGAGAATAAGGAAAATAAAACAGCTTTGTTCAACCCTGGAGAATGAGCTTCTCCAGTTCTGATGCAGACAAGCAAATGATTGCAGCATATAAAACTGGCAGAGCAATCCCTGGGTTATGTGTTAAGTTTGGGGACTGAAGCCTGTTGAGAGTACTAATTGCAAATGAACATCTTCCTGAAACACCAGCGATTCTACTCAGGTTTGGGCATCGCACTAGGAATAACAACTTCAGCTCAGACAGGAAGTTATCCAGGCAATGAATTGTACCGGCTGACGTTTAAAATACACCACTGTGTTTTGAAGAGTATGGTAGCAGCAAGCAGGTGATGGTGCTCCATGGTAAGGAAAGAAATACTGCATTGTTTGATTAGATAAAGATCAGAGGTGTGTGATTTTTCTGCAGTGTTTAGGAATAAATGGGAACAATAAAGCAAGCAGTGTTCAAATTGCAGTTCTCTTCAGTTCCGATCACAGCACCTGGGAAGTTCTTGAATTACAATTACTGCCCCAAATTAAACGTACTTTCATTAGAAACCAACTTTTGTGTAGTATTTCTCTAAAGTTACAAAATTTTACTATCCAAATCATATTGTTTGAATTCTGTCTCTCCTGCATTCTTAAGTACCTTAACTCTGGCTTCTTGGTATCACTTCTGTTAGCACAGTGAACAAAATATGACGCCATCTCCCTTGGATGTTTTGTTTTTTTTAATGCTAAATGATGACTGAACAAAATCCAGAAACAGTCTGGAATCAGGAAATGAGCCCAGGAAATTCACCAGAATACAGACCTGCGATCCCTACTTTGTGTCCTTGCTGCTCAGCTCTTTTTCTTTTCATGGTGACGTTTTCCAAGCAAAGAGAGTTTTCTTATCTGAGTAATGCTGTATCCAAGGAAATGCACATCAGGCTTCTCAAATCACAGCTAAAGGAAGTAGTTAGGAAGTTTCCTTCTTTCTTCTTTTCAGCCCACAGTAAAGAGCAATTACACAGTAGAAGCTGGGAAACCATTTAGAATACCTCTCATCTGGTGGTTAGGTAGGGCCATCTCCTGGGAATTAAAGTAAGTTATAATCTGGGCCTCCACTTTTTTCCAGCCAGAGTCAGTAAGTAGATCTAGAATAAGGAACTCTTTCTCTGTAATTTTACTTGTTGTAGAAAGCAGTTGACGACGCTGCTTTATCAGAAACTTGTGTTATTAAATGAGAAAACCCACTTAAAAACTCACTGAGCAAAGAGAAGGAATTTTCTTAACAGCCTGATTTAAACATGAAATATACATTGAGCTACTGAGTCTTGCCATATCTAAGATATTTCTGTCAATATGCTGAAGGTCAGTTTCAGGCATTCCTGGTTCTTTACAATAAGAAACAACAGCACTTGTGGAGTTGGAATTTCCTTGTGTCAAGCAGCATTTGGGAGGTTTTGTGTAGTAAGTTATGTTTATTTTTAATAACACCTTTTATGGCTTCGCTTGTAGCTGAACAAAATCGGAACTGTCATATTGGTGTGAACTCAGGACATTAAATGTACATCTGCTGATAGATTTGTATCTATACTGAACAGTTAGTGGTGACAGCTTGCGTTTTACTGCACCCTTCTTCCTTTCATGCTGCACCCAATGTTGGGTGAATCTAGGGGATCAAACGGCAGTAATCTCACGTGGGCAGACCAGAACTGATGTTCTGTCTGTATTAAGAATCTCTGTATTGGAGAACAGCACCTAAAACTGTTTTTCATTTATCTTTTGCTAGGAATCTCATTTTGCAGGCATCACAGCATCCTTCTAACGGTTTTGTGCTTACTGGGATGTTTTTCTTTGGCTTCTCACAAAAGGAGAGCAGGTTATGCAGAGAAATAGTGAAAACCTGACTAGCTGTGGTCCTGGGGTAACCTACTCCATGTGACCCTGCTTGTGCAGGGGGGGTAAGAAGGGTCCTTTCCAATCTCAACCACTTTGTGACTCTGTGGAAAGTGCAGAGGTAAGCACACCCATGGTAGAGCTTGTTGAGTATTATTTATAGCCAGGCTTTTTAAAGGCAGTCCTAACAAATAAAAGTTTGGCCCTAATTTCATGTAATTGTTTGGGATATGCATGAAAACTGTTTCCAGCAGCGTTTTGGTAATACATCTTCACCATATGAAGGTCCTTAGAAATTCCCTGGTTTGTGCAGGAAAATGGAAATTTAAAAACAACTTTTTTAACTGATTACTAGGTCTGACTCTCCGGTAGGGACCAGATTTACTGCTAGGAATAAAAGTGTTAATTGACCAGGAAGAATTAACAACTTGTATGTTGTCTGAGCTGAGCATTTGTCACTATTTTCTTTATAGAAGATAATCTGACCAATGAATGGCCGTTACATGCACAGATTTATCTTCAGGATATGTCCTGGATTGAAGGTATGAATGCTTTCTTGTTCTTAGTGCCTTTCACTGTCACATAAAACATTTTCCATCTTCTTCTGCATCTTCTACCTTTCCTCTCTTTTTTTTTTATTATATTTTCCTCAGATTTAGTTATTCTGTTCTGTGATTACTTGCTATTCTTCCATTTCTCTGCTAGTTCCTGTCAATCCTGCCTTCCAAGAGTTGGCTGAAGCCCTTTTGCAGCACTGTTGAGTTGAATTGGCACTTGACTTTGTGATACTTACTTTGCATTCTCTCACTTTCCTCCCCATCCCTGCCTCCAGCTCCCCTTTTGCTTGGACACAGATCATTTTTCACCTAGCTCTCTCTTTGGAATACAATTGATTTTATTTTTCTGGATTCTCCCAGAACTTCTCAAGCATCTTACTGCACTTTTTTACGATAATAGAATGCATTTTCTAAATACGCATTTTTCCACCTAACAGAGTGTTACTTTTCTCCTTTATATTAGTCTAGCTTTTATAATTTATTTGCTTTCTAGAGTAGTAGCTGATTTTAATTTATTATTTTTTTAGAGTTGGGGATGGGGGAAAGCTTAACTACTTTTCCTTCCTTTTGTTTCTTTCCTGAGTTAGCAGTCTGTTTTGGAACCTTGACCTGTCACTTGTGTGACAAACCCTCCTTAGTTTGTTCTCAATTGCAGTCTAAAGATGTTGGTGCTTTGTCAGAATCAAGTTCTCCTTTGGAGTATTCAGTGATGCAGTCCTTACAACGTATCTCTGTTTCACTGATAAGCACCTTTTTATATTTGTTCTTCTAAAGAGACTACACAGACTCTGGCTGTATTGCATTTAGTGTCTCTCAGTCACAGAAACAAGAATACAGCATAAGTACTGCATTCACAGTCCAGCAGTGAGGGGTCATGCACAGTTTGTCAAGAGCAGCTCTGTAAAATAATAATCCAGAATAAATTCCTGATTCTTCTTGAGCACTGAAGGGTTTTTTGTTTCCTTTCCTTGGCAGATGAGCAGTGTTACACCCTTCCATGCCGATGTGGTGGGAGTTACTCCGTCTCCAAGAGCGAAAGCAAAGATGTATCTTTGGTCTGTTGTGACACATGTTCCCTTGTTATTGAGATCCTGCAGTGAGTGCTGCACACAAGCACACCCTGTTAGGAACTTTCAAAACATTGGACGTGCAGGACAGCATCTCACAGGACAGCATCTCACAGGACAGCATCCCACAGGACAAACGGGACATCAGGGATGCTCCGAGAACAAGCTCAGTCTGTCTCAAGAGAGGAAGCGTGCCCATTTACTGACCTATCTTTAAAGACATTCTATTTGTTCTTTTTTCTCTTCAACCAAATTGCTATTTATAAAAAACTTCCAGAACCCAACACTGAGTTCTGTACACCTGGACTATACCTAAACAACCTTTCTTTCCCAGCAAACAACAGAGTGGCTTCTTTCAGTCTCTGTCTTTTATCGACTGCAGCTTGGGCCTTCCCTCTTAAGTAAGTTAAATCCTTTTAAAGTCTCAGATGACAAAATTTAATCAGGAGGCATACGTGTGAGAATGCTTTGAAGATAATGAAGAATCAGGGGTATTAATGGGAAATGGAAATTGTAACAATCAGAAGGATCAACATGATGGAATGGTTGATACAAGAGGTATAACGACAAAGGGAGTAACACAATAGAAAGGTGTTATAAGGGAAGGGAAAAAGACTGCTCACTTGTCTCCAAAGATCTAGGCTCAGAGGGATAAACTCCACAAAGGAGGAATCTCCAGAAAGAGAACCTTCCTCCGTGGCAGTCAGCCCTTAAATGAGGTCTAAGAGAGGTGCAGCCAGGCTCCACTGCTTCCAGTCACACAGCTGAATTGCCTTCACCTGTGCTCCCAGGACTGACCGGGTCCTTTCCCCAGGCTCTCCAGCAGTGTTTCAGGCCATGACTCAACAGTTCCCATACAGGAATATTTTCTATTTCAATGCTAAACATTTAAATTAGCTTCTGTTAAATCCTCAAAAAGGACTTGAACCCTAGAAAGAGGTGACAGAGGTCTGCAGATGTGGCTGGGTGTTTCTCCTGGTACAAAGAGCACATACAGTGCTTGTTCACCAACACTGCACCTACATCAGCCTTTCAACTTACAGCCAGGAGTGCACTGTTCTACTGACTCCATCCATCATCTGAACAAATGCAGGCTTCGTTCCTTATACGACTCCTACTGGGCATGCAAGCTGGGTCAACGTGGAGCAAGCTCAAGGAAAATCCTACACAACACATACGAGTAAATGGGTATCAGATCCACAGCTTTTCTGTTTAAGCCCTAGCACACCACAGTACTTGCTGATGTAGGTATAGCCTGTGTGTGGCTCGGGCTGTGTGATGGTGTAATAACGCATCGCCTTCTTCATGGCTTGTTCACAGTCAGAGTTACCTTTGCCTTCTAGTAAAATTCAAAACTTTTTTTCATAAATCCAGCACTTACTGTAAGCAGCCAGAGGAAACAAAATAAGAGGCATATCACCGTTGATGATGACAGCAGTGTGTCGTTCCCACTTTAAAGTTAGATATAATCGCAGAAAGAAGAGACATCCTTGTCAAGCAACACTTGTGTTTATTCTAAACAAAAATAATTCCATTAGTTTCAGTAGAAAATATTTTGCAAGCTGGCAACAGTCATTTAATTCTTTCAGTCATCAAGAAATCTATGGCCGTTGGGGCTTGCACGTAGAAATCCAAAGTCATTCAGAGGCCATATCTGTAAAATAATGAGATTTTCATCACAACTCGAAGTTCGGTACTTTCATTTGTAATGGTTGGAAGTTTTCATAACCTGCATCATTTTTATAACACAAGGATTGAAACCTCTCACCTGTGTGAGAAATATTTACTGTATACCAGGAGAAATCCTAATTGTGTAGTGGCTGGAGACAACATTATTTAACAGACAGCATACCTTCCTATGGAGAGCTCCCAAAGCACAATATCTTTTTTTAGCCTTGGAAAGAAATACATTCCTAGAAAATATTTTCTAATTTCAACTGTTAACTTAAAAGACATGGTATATGTATTTGATTCATCTAGGAGAGGAAAATAGCATGACCGTTACCTCTCAGTGAAAGTGTTCCTGGGAGGTACACATTGGTACTTTTAAGATGAGCATCTGAAATACACTGAAGCTTGAACAAAGAATTCCATGGGCTTACAGGTAAGCTCATACCATGCAAAAGGTACAGAGGGGAGGGGTGCCTGCTGCCAGGAAGTGCCCTCAACCAAGGGGCCCCTCTGAGAATGTGACAGTGGAAAGAGCACAAATCAGAATCATGTACAAGCACAAGTGTCAGAGCGATGCTCACAAGAAGGAACTCAGATGTTTACAGATGTTTATACTACTCGATGCTCCCAGGAGAACTTTCTTACACATAGTCACTAATTACATGTAGGCTGGCTGGTCCTGGGTGCAAAAAAGGTAATGTGAAATCAAGAATAGTCTTTTACAGTGTCTCCTCTGACTGCCTCTCCTTTCACTCCATGTTCTTTCAAAGATAGCACTGGGAGATCAGCAGAAAGAAGGCAAAGAGGCTGTGCTGAAGAATGAATGTTCTGTTGTGGCTCTAATCCTATAAAAATCTCACAGCCCCTGCTCAAATAAAGCAACCTGAACACAGAAAGATGATGTGCTATCTTGTTCCCAAAACATCTGTTAGTATGATGTTTATGTTGTTCATCTTTCCTTCAGATTTGATCTTAAGGAAGGTATGCAGTCAGGAAGAGTAAATTCCTATTCAACTGAATTTATGGAATATCCACAGCACAGAAGGAGCCTCACTGTCTTCTGCATGAATTTCAAAAGTGTTTTTTTTCTGCTTGCAAGGGGAAGCACAGTGCCAAGGTTCAGTATCTCAGCCTCTGTGACTTGTCCTCAGTATTACTACTATGTTACAGAAGAGGCGAAGGCAGGTAAGAATGAGAGACTGAGAAGGAAGGAACAGCATCAACTTACTACTACATTTAGACAGTGCACTGCTGGAAGCTTGGATGAACTTGCATCCATCAGGCCCCTTCTAGCACTGGTTAAGTTGCAACAACTCAATTAGATTGTACCTAGGCCCTGAGAAAATACAAGGATGAGTTATTGCCTGGATATCGAGTTCTCTGGATCTGAAAATGGCTTAAAGCTCTGTTGAACAAGTATCTTTGAACACACACATCTTTTTCTAGCACATGCAGCTAGGGAAGATCATGAGGAGCATCTGCTGACAGACAGAAATACACGTCTCTACATGCACACTGACCAGTGAGCTAATTTAAGTTCTGCAGAAGTACAGAGCGTTATGAAAGAGTAACAGAAGGCTATCTGTGAGTTTGGCTAGCAGTAAAGCTAAACAATGCAAAGTTTTGCAGAAAGACCTACGCTGGCTGCAGGCTGGCTGTCATGTCCTTGCTTGGCTTCAGAGCAGACAAGAGCAAAAGGAGGTAGCAATATTCCATATTATGAGTGCAAACCCATCCGAGTAAAGGCCCAGAGGAGAGAAGCCATGCACTACTATACAAATATAATTTCAGACAACTTAAATCACACCTTCTGCAACTTGACTTGCTTTCAGTGACAGTAATCAGAAGCATTTTAAATATTATTTGAAGATACAGTTACAAATTCATCACAGTAATCGTAGTGGTAGAGTTGGAAAGAAAATAATGGTTTGTCTAGTTTGCATGCAGGAGAGAAATCTGAAACACTGCTTCCAGTTGGAAAGAAGGTGGAACAAGATTCCGTGTGAAACAAAGACATGCCATTGCGTGTAATAATTTCCAACAGGAGTTGACTCTGACTTGTTGGTTCAAACTGGCTAGTCCAATTAGTGGCTATTTCCTTTTGCCCCCTTTGGTTTGGCCAACATAAATCTGATCTGATGGATGGGGCATAAATGAGGATAACTAGCTCTTTTGAAGATACTCAGCAAGTCCAGCTCTGACACGAAGCGTATGTCCAGGGAATGCACAGGCTGCCCTGTGTAGGATAGACAGAACTCATGCTTTTCCAAAGAAGGGAGTCCTCCCCTCGATGGGGTTTTACTGCAAATGCATCTATTTATCTTTTAGTGGCCTTTTTATGCAATGAGCTTAACTATTAAAACTGAAGTTGATATGCTGGAAAGAATGAAACAAGACAAATGTATTCAAGTATCATTTACTTCCCTCTGAGTTAAAAGCTGGTGCACCAACACTGGGAACCATGGGTCTAAACTTCACAGATAAAGGTTAATTCTTTCCACTGTAAGATAAACCAAGTTAAGCTTCTGTTCTCAAGACAATAAGAGATTTTCATGATGCCAACCATTTATCAGACTATATTTTCTTGGCTACAACCATGTGGAACAGCTATATTCTTTTTTACTGTGCTTTTACTGGCCTTTTACTGCAATGATCAATGGCAACATACAATAGCTAGATGTAGTCTCATGTGAATCACCATAAACAACTCAAACTATAAACAGACTTCTGAAGAATAAACTCATTCTTGCTTAAATCTCATTAAAATGTTAATAATCACTAGCCTATTCACACCATGTAATAACTGCCATAAAAATGTTTAAAAAGAAGAAAAGATTATTTTAATCAAGAATCAACTGATTGCATACTCTTTTTAAACAGATAATATTCTGAGTTGTACAGCACTTCGGTACGTAACGTCCGTAGTGTAAGTTCCATTCATTTTACAAGGTCATTGACTGCTTCCTCAACTTAGAATTCAGTCATGTCACCTCATTTAAAGCCTCTCAGACATCTTGCTTGGTGGCACTGAAGCTGAACACAAATCTATTGCTGTGGAGGGATAATGTGAAAAATTACAGCTGTCCACACAACATAGGTTACTGATATAGCCATTATTTACTAATAGTCTCCTTACAGTAGCTAACACCACTTTTTCTAAAGTAGCACATCAGTTGGAGATTAGTTATTTATTTGATGACAAATGCCAGATTCCTGTTAGGAGGTCACTCAGTATATTAGCATCATCTGCATTCCGACAGTTAATAATCCAAGCTAAGACTTTATTCAGTAGAGTAGCCTTACTTAGAACCATTTTTTGCTCTGGGGTAGTGACGAGGCAAACAGTGCAGAGAAGGAAGAAGGAACCCTTAACAGAGACTGGGGAAGAGCTCAAAGCAAATGCTATCTATAAAGAACACAGGTCAGACAAAACCTAATGGTGGTCGTGAGTGTTTCATGAGCAGTTAGAGACCACAGTCAGGAACTGCAACATTTTTTTGTTCATTTTTTGAAAGGTCCCAAGTTGCCTTCATAAAAACTGTAAATATTTCTAATTTAACAAAGTTCTGTGTATGTAACCTGCCCCCCACACGTAATAGGACATAAATTAAACATCTGTGGTTGTTGTGCAATACATGGAGAATAGTTTCCAAAATAATTGTTCTGAATGATACCATTTGAAGTCTAGCTCTTGAAAAGCTAGCCCATAAGTCCATGCAGTACGATCTCCCTCTCCTGTTACAATTGTTATAGTGAGGAGATTGTTTTAGCTCCTTCTTCTTGGTAAATGATTAAATTAATAATGCAGACAACATGAAAAGGTAGCTCAGCGTGAAATAAAGCTTTGGACTTGCTGAAACAGACGAAGGATCCATGTAGGTTTATACAATATTCAAGAGTTTTTGGTTTTTTAGTATAGAAGTGGAGGATGATTGCAGAAGCACAGATTTGACTTCACTGTTAAAGCTTTTCCACAGAGTTAGCAAGGCCAGTCCACAAGTCTAAGCTATGTATGCAGGTCCTAGGACCTCCACCTTTGGTTTCTCCATGACGGAAGTACATTTCTCAAGCTACAAACACACAAAAGTAGGAAGCAGCCCTTTACTGTTTTGCAAAAGCAAAAATCACATTAAGGATGGAGTATACTTTTCATGCAGCAGTGTGTGTATATTTGTATACAGTTTGGTTTTGCTTGCAAAATAATTGTCAGTTCTTAAAGGCAGCGAGTGCTCAAAGAAGGATTCTCAAAAACCAAATCCTTGCTCAAGAATTCCCACCGAACCTCAAAACATTGTTATGCTCCCCCCCTACAGCAAGTGTCCAGTGCGTTTGAGCTCTTCTTCAGGTCTGCTTTGGTCAGAACTTAAGGCAGCAAGTTTAGTGCCCAAGAAACATGCATTACACATATATTAATGCAAATATTTTAGGTACTATAAATACCTTAAAACAAATGCGTCCTCTTATCAGTCCATAAGGAACAGGTCCATAGCATCTGGAATCTGTAGAGTTCCTCAGATTATCACCTTCTAACCAAACGTGTCCTTTAGGCACCTATGATTAAGCAGGATTGAATTGAAATGTAAAAAGAAAATGGAATAGAATAAGGGATTGCATACGGTTTGACTTACGTAGCCTAATTTCTGCTTTCTATATTTCATGACTGTATAATAAACTACTTTGTATTTTATCTAATAAGACACAGTGCCAGATTGGGAGGGATGAGAGGGAGTGCTCTGAAGTATCTGTTCTATCATGTTCTCAAAAAACAATGGTTTGCAACAAAAAATCCAAAATGAAGATGTAAGAGGTTAGACCAATGTGACAGGGTCATTAATTTAATAGACTTCAAAAGAGGTCATTAGGATGTTGACTGAAAATCTGCCCTCCTGTCGCAGTAACAGCATGAACAGGGCAGCCACACACTCATCAACATCCTGGGGCCAGCACCAAGGCTAGACCTGTTAGTAGATTCATGATGAACTAACTGGTAATTGATTGTGACATCAATTACGAATAATCTCATCATTTTATCGGAGTAGGCTTGTCAAAGTTCTAATTAAGATCACAGTTCATTCTATGCGCAGGCAGAATCCACAACACATTATATTGCAATAATGATGATCACAAAACAGCAAATCCCTTTTTATAATTTGAAAATTAATGATGGTGACCTTATACTATATGACAAAGACCTTTCATTGCCTATATATATTATGCCTTAACTACATTACAGACCGTAGAAGAACGGCATTCAGTGACTGACCCGATGACAAAATGAGAAATAGCAACACAGCTGTGTTAGTTAGCTAGGTAAAAGTACAAAGCTTCCATGAGTGGAAAAGTCACCATGATTTGTCTTAAACTCAGATTTCTGCTCAGAAAATATGCCCCTACTTTGACTTTTGTAGGAAACGCTTTCGGTATAGATAACCTCTTACAAGTTACCAAATAAAACATTTAGTAATTGGTTTTCTAATCTTTCCAAAATTCTACAGCAGCCTGAAAAATTAAAAGTAGCAACACATTCCCCATCTAGACAGTATTTGACATGGACCTTAAAGGTAATGGGCATTTTTCCAGAACCAAATACGTACATGGAATGTTACTATGCCCAGAATTCAGAGCAAAATACAAAGAAACGAGAATCACAGACCTCAAGAAAAACAGTCTGAGTACTGTCAACATTAATATTTTAGAAACAAGCCCCACAGTCTCTTAAATACAGTCGTCTACGTATGCAGAATTTTAGGATAACAGACTGAAAAGACTGAAATACCACTCCAGAAAAGCTTGGATGTAAACCATTAAGACTAAAACCAAGTCCCTTTCATAAGCATTTGAGGAAAACAGAATGAAGTGCAACCAGTGGTACTTATAGGTATCTGGCCAGGGAATACTGGCAATCTTATATTTCAGTAGGCCTTTTTTGGCTCTTTGCTTAGCCATGTTCCTGCCTGCCTAGGAGCTGAGGGTGGCAACCTATCCAGCTGTCCTTTTGTTGAGCTGTGGCAAATGTTTAACATACTGACTGAGAACCAGTAGTTTGGTTTAAATCTTAAAAAGCATTTTAACTGTTGCATTGTAAAGGAATTCTTAGTTCAAACATAAACTTACTGGGGATGTGTAGTAGCAATGCAGAGCTAGCATCATCAGTCATATTAATTTAAAGGCTAACCTAGGAAAAAGGCAAAGCAAGCTACCCAAGTGATTATTAAAAAAAATTACCACTAAGTCATTTTTTAAAGAAGAATCTGTCCAGATACAAATGACCTGCAAAGCACACGCAGCTACGTATGCCAACAATTTCTGACAGGTCTCTGAGAATGTGCTGCCATTCCTATTTCCCTCAAGATTTGCGAGATGAAGTCAGTGCAGAATGTCCAGCAGCAATAGTTAGGGTAGCTGGACGTCCATCTGCTTATGAGCAGTGCACCCACCTGGAGCACTCACTGTGCCCACACCTTACACAAGGCTCTGCTTTTCAGGTGCAATGCAAACATCTCATGCCCAGCAACTTCCAGAATTACAGACCACCAAACTACTGTCACTTTGAGAGACTGTCTATCTCAGCAATTGCACAAGAAGAGAATCATGAATTACCACAAAAGGAAACTTTTTTAATGAAATAAGGCAGCAAACTCTCATTAACATTTCACATTTCTAAGAGCACATCACTTCTTGTAACATGCTACCGTTTCATACACAGGAGCCTACAGCTCCTGTTCTACTTAATGGCCTGCTTCTAGACCTTCCCATCTTCCATGCACCCAAAGTCCAAAAAAGCTTTAAAAAAAAAATTAAAGAAAAAAAGCACAGAAACTTTTGCCAGCTTTGGTATAGCACTTACTACTTCTAACATGACTAATAATTACTGATTAATTACCTAAATAAGATGTTCATAGTTTTCATTTCAGATAGAACGCCTGCAATGAAGTATGTACCTAAATCCTGAATTTCACCTTTTCTGGTAACTTTTGTAGTTTCCCATTGAAGTATGACAGGGCCATACACCTCTAAATCTGTACTGTCACATGTAGGATTAATCTAGAGATACTGCAGTACAATAGCTTTGTACGATGCCTGTCCATCACCCAGGCACCTCACTACGACCCGGAATTAAGATGAGTACAGGAATCATACAGATTACTTGAAGACGTTAAACCAAACACAGGTGACATGATACACGTGTAAGCAAAGGAAAAAAGAATTGGCTGCAACACTTGCACTTTTGGTTTTATACACTGACCGGCTGCTGCTCCTTTTTTTGACAGTGGGAAAGCTGCTCACTTGACAATTCACAACGCTGTTGCATTTTGGTGTGTCCAGGTGATGGACTGTAAGAAATACCAGTTACCATCGCTACGCAGCAGCACATTGTGAATACAGTAATGTTTTCAGAAGTATTGCCAAGAACGCCAAAAGCATTCAGCCCAGCTGGATGGCATTTTAGACGTCACACACGGGCCAGCTCTAAGAAGCCCAGGTCCCACAAGCCTGACAACTGAATTTTCACAGAACTGGTGGCTTGCATGACAAAGCAGCAATCCCACAGCAGCACAGGTCCATCCAAACCACGCTCCCTCTGATCTCCCGCAGCCTGTCTTTGCCTCGGTAGCCCCAGTGCCTCTGGTTTTGTGCAGATTATCTGAGGATTTATTTTCAAGGAACAACAGCTCCAAGGGAGAACCGGTTATCTGAGGTGCAGCTTATATGCATGAGAATACGGACGCTGATTAGACACATGCCTCTTCCTCTTCTCCCTCCCAGGGCTGGGAGGGCCCTACTACAGGAGCAGATAGAGCAGAAGGGCAAAATAATCATTCAGAGGAGCCCAGCTTTTATTGGTGGCTTATAGTGTTTCAGTTCGGATAAAACTCATTCACTGCAGAACCAGGGGATGAAACAGACACGGTGTTTACTGCAACACCAGAAAACCAAGACACTGCAAGTAAGAGAGGAAATCATAAAATCTGTCCCCCCCCTCCCCCCCCAAAAAAATAAAAAATCACCATCTAAATGAAATTCCTGCTACTGTGTTTTCTTCTTTTTTGGTCTGGGGGCCGTGAGGGAGTATTTTGGGGGATCCCAAAGATGGATAAACAGATTTGTAATGAACAAGTGAAGAATTATAAACATGAATCTCTCACAGCGTCTCATTTTGGAATTCCGAGCAGTGTGCGTGCCAAAGAACACCAGTACGTACAGTCAGCTGGGAACAGATGAAGCTTGAACTCTTATAAGTTCACAGGTATTCACATCACCTCCAGCAATATCAGAGTTTTAAACCTCAGAAGAACTAAATCATTCCCATCTTTTCTTTTCAGTTCAGAGGCTTCCTTCTTGAGCTGTGATAAGAACTAATCTCAGTGCCGGACAAAAGAATAAAGTCTGTAAGTTCTCATCTGTCCCTACTAAGGTCTATTTAAGTGCCTCCTACTTTGGTAGAAGCAACAAATGTAATTGCTTCATGGCCTGCGGGTGTTCATTTAACAAAAGAAGCTTTTGTGAATAAACCACAGGTGTTACCTTTCTTGATTAAAGTGAAATATGATGAAAGAATCTACAATATCAAGTGACAAATTTACTAAATACTGATTAAATTGCCTTATTTAAGTAAATTGCATCTATTTGGGATAAAAGATACAGCACAGAAATGCAAGAGTCGAGTTTTCTCACTTGATACTTAGAATCTCACATAACTTTCCTTAATCCTTTATTTATTAACACGTAACTAAGAGTGAATAATACTTAGCAGATGCTGTTTTTTAATGATCCAAATACACCATTTCTTCAAGCTTATCAAAAACACACTTTAAGATACAGTCACCACGTCCATAAAAGCCAGGGACATTAATTAGCACAGTATTTTCAAACTCAGTGTTAAGCTTCTATACGTCTCTTTAACTTTCTCATGCTGACAAAAGCTACAAAATGGCAGCAACTTCAGTGGAAGTCTGAAAGTGCAGGTGATCTTAAATCAGCATCCCCCAACTACGCATAATAAGAAGGTGAATGACTTACAATTTAACACTTCTTAAATGAATTTGCCCTTAGTGATTTCCTTTTACTTACTGAGAGCTTTAAGCTGCTTATGCATAAGACATACTGTGTACTTAGCTCGGGTTGTTTATATAGTATATAAAAAAGAATTCATTACGACCTTGTCCAGATGACAATGAAACACTAATATGGTTCTCTACAGAAATGAAATTCACTGTGATGAAATACAGACTCATTCTGAACATTAAAAATTGTTCCTTTTAATATAAAAACATTAAAGAGGTATGATATGGAGACTCGTCTACTTTTAGGTTTTGAAATAGATTACTAACCAATATTAAAATCACTTAACCTTCAATGGTGGCAATGTCAACACATACTACAGGGAAACTTTATATGAAGAAGCCAAGGTATGCTAACTCAGATTTTAATTTCAAGCATTTTTCTCTATCTTGCAGACATGCAGAGTGTTCCTTAATAAACAACTTTGAGAAGCTGTTGCAGTAATTTGGCAAAGCATTGGTTATTTGAATAGGTTTGGCTTTTTGTTTCCATTGTTGCTCTTCTAAATTTCATGTAATGCACAGGTAGCTCCTGGGCTCTTATTTTGGGACTGTCCAACACTGCCCTACGTACTCTATGGGGAAGGTCATAAACATTTTCAGATCAGAAATGCCTGTGCCAGTT